TTTCTTGAGAAACTTCTTCTCATCTGACTCATTATTATAGGCCATGATCTTAACATCCTGATACTTTCTAACATTTTTCATAATCTTACCATATACTGAATTATTCATGAGCTTGAAGAATTCTTTTTTGAATGCATTCTTAGCTTTTTGGCGTAATTTAGTATTTTTTGCAATATATGAAGCCAACCAGTTCATCTGGTTAAATGATAAGATCTTTATGACTTCATCTACAATTATGCCCAACTTTATATAATACTGAAACTCTTGATAATGAACGACATAATTTTTTCGTAGGCTAAGATGAGGGATTAATTTTTTGTTGCATAGAATTGTCTACCATCCATATAATTCACAAGCTTGACATTGTATAAGCATAGCATATCCTTTTTTACTGCAACATTTTTCACAGCTTGGAGGTAAGTCCCTCAAATAGTTGTGAGTCTTTAGTGGGAAATAGGAATTAATTATTAAGAAGAAACCACGTGATGCATCTGCTCTAGTCTTAAAAATCATTTTGAAATATTTCTTTTGTATCTTAGGATTATTTTTTAGATATTCTCGACTAACAATCCACTTATAATTTCCAATTGGAAGAAATTGGCTCATGATTCAGCTATAAAGAATATTTACATTGACATAGGAGATCCATGTTGTGGGTTAGGATGGATTGAATTCCTCTCCTATGCTAGGATTATTTGCTTGAAAATGTCTATATACTGCTATAGCAATACCACCTCACTTTGCTTTTTCAATGAAGTCATACATTGCCATTTCTGTAAATAGCTTAATTTTGACCTTGGTTATTTTAAGCATAGCATCCCAGGATAGAGAAGATGCAGATATATAATGGCTGGGATCAAGACCATAATGATGCATAAATGTTTTTCTAAATATTGTCCAGACATCTGCTAGACTAAATACGTCTATTTTGAGATAAAGATCATTATGTTTTGCATTCAAATTCCTTCCACACATTTTGGGCATAATTATAATCCTCTTGTGAAATCTTTCCTCTAAGAACACTATGAAACTCATAAATTGGGGATAAGTCTGTTTCCTTAAATCAGTCATAAGAATCTATGCATTTATGAGGAAAGATTCCTTTGTGATATGCTAAGAAAATTTGTTCAGAAGAATAGCCTTGCTTCTTGAAATACTCAGTTGTAATTGGGTGGTTATCACCCAAGTTCTTTGTAAGAGAGGCTAAGCTAGTATTCATAAATTGCATACTATCAATATATTTAAGTTGACCTACTTTCATAGA